TATTATAAAATACATTCTGCAGCATTGAAAACTGAACTTTACAATTAAGTAAGAAGACGTATGCTCTTTAAGGAAAGATGTCACAAATATGTCACACTGCTGTAGCCCTGTTATAGCACAGCTGCTTGGAAAGGTGCTAGTGTGTCCTGTGTCATTCCTCTCATGCTCACATCCCTGACCTCATAAACACTGGCTGTGGCAGTGTGTGTATGTGCGCGTGTGGAAAAGTGAGGTTAGAAGGTCAGAAGGTGAGAAAGGGAATGAGAACGTGTGAAAGTGAAAGAGAGAGAGAAATGAGTGACGGACAGTCCGGAGAAAAGTCGTCCTTTGGCATTTTATCCTTCCACCGGAGTCGTCAGAGCACGATGATGTACCAGGAGGTTAACTGTACTCACTGGAGCACCGATTTCCCAAGATACATCATGTCAGGAACAAGGTGCATTATTCAACTCCACAAAGCAGCCTCTCTGAGGTGTTTACTGCAGGAAACAAAGTAGTCAGCATTTAGAAACTGCTACAGGGGCTTGAACTTGTGAGACTCTTTGGTGTGGCAATGTGGAAAAATATTTGTCACGATAACCAAAAACAAATCTCCATTACAAGTACACAGCATTATTACCACAGTTTTTTTTAATTTATGTTAAGTTGAACTTTTTGCTGTATTCTCATGAATCACTCACACAAGATTTGCCATACATCTTTGGCAAATGTGTGTGATATCCATGAAACAATCTCAATAAATGTCTACACCTCTTTCATAAGTTACCCTTTTTATCAAGTTAAAACCAGAGACTGGTTAAACCCGATGAATACCAAGACTGATTGCTGCAACTATCTGATTGCCTGGCAGAGAGGTAATGTCCATCTCAGATTCTTGAGCACGAAGAAGACAAATCATATTACCAAATGTAAGATCAGACATCAATGATTGATGGTCCCAATACTAACATTGATAATGTTTATGTCTATGTTCTTACATAGACTCTGAGACATCTTCATTTAAAACTTGTTAGGGATGGTACATACAATGAAGCTATGATTCAAGTCTGACCATCGACATCATTTGTATTTGTCTGAGCATATTTTACCCATAGAGCAAGTAAATCAGTAAAAATATATCGGTCCTTTTGAGAAGGATTTCCTTAAATTATTCTATAATTGTTGCTCCCCTGTATGCACGGATCTTATATCCTGCAACAGTTTACCGCAACAAGGGACATCCTTTAAATCTCCGCTAAAAACTCATTTTCACAAACTTGCATTTCTGCAGTGGGTGTTCAGCCCCTTTGATGTTCCTCTTTTTGAACAATGGGAGCTAGCACCGAAGCCCCCTCTAAGCCTGCCGCCCTCTCCCTCCCAACTTTTCTATCCCTCCATTGTCCTCAGATCATATTCAGTGAACTCTCATTATAGGGGTGGTAATAGACTCTTCAGCACTAAGATCCTCTTTATTATCCGTCAACTGTGGACTACATCTCTAAGCTGATTAGCCAGAGCTGCCTTTTCGGCATTTCAATTACGAACATGTTGAATAGTCAAGCAGATTGCCTGCCCAT